GAAAGTTTGATTGTGCCCCCCCCCCAACATAAACAGTCTACGTCCGTCCCTGATTGCATGAGCTTTGCTCGATATAAATTGAGATTAAACAATACACTGCTCTATTAAAGATGACTAGACAACTAAGTTGGATTGTCTATCAAGACTTGAGATGTATTAGAATGTCATTACGAACTAACTTGTGTTGCCTACTTCAAGTTTCAAGGTGACTAGACAACTAAGTTCATGAGTCAAAACCCCATAACCATTAGTAGCGGTATTAATTTCAGAACAATAAAAAAAATGTCTTTTTCAGAAAATTGTTGAACTCAAAATAAATATCTTTCATGGATGATCATTAGTATTCCTCTTACTGGCTACTCGGATAGGACTTCATGTAACTACTATGAGATCTCCAATTCATGAAGGATAGAGAGTGATATCATTGATGAGACCGCCATGAATTGAATGCTAGGGTTAATTTGTTTTCATGTTGAATAAGTTGTAAAAGAAGTAATATACCTTTTTGTTGAGTAGGATGCACTTCATCCCCGAGTAAGAACAATGAGCATATTTGACAGCTCATACAACACCAACATGGCGGGGCAGCACGAGAAGGCATGTCCTTGCCTCACCTTGGATTGCCGGGTCGCAAGAGGTGGTGGTTGTTGTCTACTTCTAGGTGTAGGAGGTCGCTGAGATGGCCCGTGTCTGGTTCTTGCAGGGCTGATTTTGTCAAACACGCTAATAGACCTTTGCGGCATGTGTTCTGGCTCGTATTCGGGGGGAAAATTATCCTCTATGTCAACATGGGCCTCGGTGGGTCTGCCAGAAGCATAGTTTAAGGAGATATCAACTCTCACTTCCCTTTCAAGGAGGCTAACTTCTTTAGCCTTCATGTGGGATGTGGCCCTTTGAATTTGGACTTCATCCTCACGCGAATAGTATCCTTGGATGCAAAGGGAGGAATTAGAGGACCTCTTCAACCTTGCATTTGTATGAGGAGTTCTTGCATAACCATATTTTGGTGGGTGATATTTCTCATGTTCCTGGGTGAGTTAGGCTCATCCCACCGCGTCTATATGGTGGCGAAGTCGATGCCAACCCACTTAGGCTGCTGCTTGTAGAGCCTATTCATTAGGGTTTTCTCTCACCCTCCTAGGAGGGACATCAGGATCTGAATTCATTCTTCATTGGCTAAATTATCAGATTTTTCCAACTTCTAGGACTTCCACTTGTTCTTTTTCAAGAACAAATCATCTTTCAAGGGAGATGTCCAGCTAGTTTCCAGCAAACTTTTTCCACGAGAATGTTTGTGGTTATAATGGTATTTCCACATGTGGCGCTAATCTATTGACCTCATTTTTTGTACCATTGATATGGATAATAGATATCGAGCTCACCCGTGTCCACGCAATCTAATTCCAACACGTGTAGGCAGATTATTAGTTAATAATATCTCGAATTTGAACGTGAGAGAAATTTTATAACACAAGACAAATATGTTTGGACGCTGACAAGATATATAAGCGAAATTGCACGATAAGAAACGATCAACAAAAATCAAACTAAAAATCAAGATCAAACATCTAACATTAGCAATAAAATATCAAACTGAGAAAGAGAGTGTATAGCTTGTAGTTGATATATTAGCATTCCCCTATAATCTATGCTGACAAAACTTTGACCTTTTTATTCATTATAAAAGTCCAATCAATCATTCTACGAGGATTTCATAAATTCAAGATCTTCAAATATGGTTCATCACCCGTCCTGATTGAGCTTTAGATTCTATTTCGTCGAGCATCACTACTTTGGCAAAAGGGGCTTCTACAGGTCCATTCCATGAAACCATTTCAGTGCTTCGAATTTAGTGGAATTTAGTAGGTCATATGTGCTCCCATGAGATGCCACATGGCTTCGGCAAAAGGGGCCTTTGGTGGGTCTGCTACGATCCTCGTGGGACACCAAGTAGGCCACGTGGAAGCCTTGGTGGCGAAGCGTAACACCACTAATAATAGAACGTTTGCTCAATAGTCTCTTTTAAGGTGGAGTCATAGATTTTCGTATTGTTTTTTAAGTTGGCACAAAATTATTGATGCCAAAATCATAAAATGATATCGTACTATTCACCTAAAAATAAAATTATAGTCAAATGACTACCTTCACATTCAAAAAATGAAAAAGAATAAAAAAAAGGCGAGTCAGGCGGGCCAATAGGATTTTTCAATATTCCACCATATGAACCCCACACGTGACATCAGCACACCCGCTATGCCAATCAGATACCCGAGGGTTAAATTCACTGGTAGCTACCCCACTTTATACTTTGTGTCACCATGACTAGCCAATTTGATTTTGTTTTACCATGACCACTCAACTTTATACTTAGTATCACCATGGCCACCCAATTTGATTTTATTTCACCAAGAATATCCAATTTCATATAACGTTTCACTATGACCATCCAATTTCATATAACATTTCATCAGGCCACTTAACTTCTCTTTATCATTTTCATTAATTTTAAAAGGGATAAATTGGTAACTTGGCATTATATATAAAAAATAAAATAAAAACTTATTTTAAAAAAGTTACTTAAAACAATAAAATAAAATAAAATTTATTTTTAAAAAAAAAGTTAATTAGAAAAATAATAAAATAAAAACTTATTTAAAAAAAGTTACTTAGAAAAATAAAATAAAATAAAAAATTATTTTAAAAAAAAGTTCTTTAAAAAAAAACAAAATAAAAACACATTTTAAAATAAACGTTATAAGTTTGTTTTTTGCAAAATAAGTTTTTATTTTAAGTTTTTAAAATTTATTTTAAATATATAATGCAAAGTTATCGTTTTACCCCTTTTAAAATTAATGAAAATGAGAAAAAAAAAGTTGAGTGGCCATGGTGAAAAAAATCAAATTTGATGGTCATGGTAATACCAAAGATAAAGTTGGGTGGCCATCAATAAATTTAGCCCGATACCTGATAGGCTGATACTAGGAACTTATTTTGTGGGACCCCTCTTTGTTATTTCCATTTCATTTCATTTGATTTTACATTTGTATTTCATTTAAATTTGCATTTGCATTTTAGGTGGGATGAAAATTGAAATAGAGCCACTGAGCCAGTAAGACACATTAGTGGTGAGATGGTGGACCCTCTTTGAAGATTTGACTGACCAAAATCAGTCTATGGTAAAAAATGAAAGCAAAACCCAGAAAGAAAGAAGCAAGAAGAAAAGTCACACTTTCCTCCTCCCTTCCTCTCAATACTCACAATTTTTGAACTATTTATATAAACACCTCAATGACTCCGCCTTTCACAACAACATAACTATTATCTCATCCAACTTGAATTGAAACTATCTCTGAATTCGATATTTTTCAAGAAATCCTACAACCCGTAAAAGGTGTGTTTTCTTATATACAAGACTTCATCTTTATTATTATTATTATTTTATTTTTTTAGCTGGTTCCGTGATGTTTATGTGTCAAACATTGAATTTTATGATGTGGGTTGTGTTTAGTTTTATTGTTTTAATGTTTCTAGACTTTGTTCAAAGAGTGCCCGAGTCATGGATATGCTAGATCTTGAAGTTTGTGATTCACGCGAGAGTACTAAATTTATTCATTCTTTGGTTATTTTTCAGGGTTTGATGTGCAGCGGTTCAAAGAACAAAAATTGCCCTTTTGATTTGCAGATGGAGGCTGAATTTCAAGAGAATAAAGGAAGAATTGTCTTTAGAAATTGCTCAAAGTTGCTTGAGTTGGCAGCCACAGACGATCTGGATGGTTTTATATGTGAAGTAGAAGAGAGGAGTTGTGATATTGATGAGGTGAGCTTTTGGTATGGAAGAAGCTTTGGCTCAAAGAAGATGGGGCTTGAAAAGAGGACCCCTGTTATGATTGCTTCATTGTACGGTAACACTGAGGTTTTGAAGTATATTCTTGGAACTGGAAAGGTTGATGTCAATAGATCATGTGCCTCAGATGGGGCTACTGCTCTCCACTGTGCTGCAGCAGGTGGATCCTGGTCTTCGGTGGAGGTTGTCAAGCTCTTGATTGATGCCTCTGCCAATTTCAGTGCTGTTGATGCCAATGGGAAGAAACCTGGTGATCTGATTGCTCCTTGTATAAAGTCCTCGAGCAATTCAAAGAGGAAAACGCTGGAGATGCTGTTGAATGGCTTAACAGTCGAGGCTGGTGATGAGGAGGACGAACAAGGAAACAGAACCCCCACGGCCGAGAAAAAGGAATATCCCATTGATGTATCTTTGCCAGATATAAACAATGGTATATATGGAACTGATGAGTTCAGGATGTATAGTTTTAAGGTGAAGCCTTGTTCGAGGGCTTATTCTCATGACTGGACAGAGTGCCCTTTCGTCCATCCTGGTGAGAATGCGAGAAGGCGTGATCCAAGGAAGTATCACTACACTTGCGTGCCTTGCCCTGAATTCAAGAAGGGAAGTTGTGCTAAGGCTGATGCTTGTGAATATGCTCATGGTGTTTTTGAGTCCTGGCTTCATCCTGCACAGTATAGAACCCGGCTTTGCAAGGATGAGACTCGATGCTCGAGGAAAGTATGTTTTTTTGCGCACAAGCCTGAGGAGTTGCGTCCGTTGTATGCTTCTACCGGTTCAGCTATGCCTTCCCCAAAGTCTGTTTCGGCCAATTCAATTGACTTCGCAACATTGAGCCCGTTGTCTCTTGGTTTGTCTTCATTGATGACACCGCCTAATACTTCAACACCACCAATGTCCCCTTCGGTTACCTGTTCATCTCCCATGGGTGGTAGCCTGTGGCAGAACAAGGTGAACCTTTCACTGCCTACGTTGCAGCTCCCAGGTAGCAGGCTGAAAACAGCCTTGAGTGCAAGACACATGGAATTGGATATGGCCCAACACCAACAGAGGCAGCAGTTAGTGGATGAGATGGCCAGCCTCTCTTCCCCATACAGCAGAATTGGCAATTTGAACCCTACTAATCTTGATGATATTTTTGGATCTCTCGATCCTTCATTAGTATCTCAATTACAATGCCTCTCGCCTAATGTTAACAATGCCACCACCTCACAGTCACAATCTCCAACTAGCCTTCAGATTCGCCAAAACATGAACCAACTCCGATCGAGCTACCCTTCCAACTCTCCCGCTAGGAAGCCCTCCACGTATGGCTTTGACTCCTCAGCAGCTGTTGCAGCAGCAGTCATGAACTCTAGGTCATCTGCTTTTGCAAAGCGCAGCCAGAGCTTTATCGACCGTGGTGGGGTTAACCATAGGGCTAGCCTTTCAGGTGCAGCCAATTCCCCAACCGCCATGTCATCCAAACTTTCGGACTGGGGCTCTCCAGATGGGAAATTAGATTGGGGCTTCAATGGCGATGATGCAAATAAGCTTCAAAAATCAGCATCTTTTGATTTTCGCATTAGCAATGCATCTGCTACAGCATCAATGACTCCATCAAATGTGAATGAACCAGATGTCTCTTGGGTGAATTCACTGGTAAAAGATGTTCCCTCTGCTAGTCCTAGGCGATATAGTCCTGACCAGAATCTTGGAGGAGTTCATGATATGGTGCCGCATTGGGTTGATCAATTTTATTTAGAGCAGGAACAGGTTGTGGCTTAAGCCAGCATCATATCCATTTGAAGATTACCGTTTATTCGATTGATATTCTTTCAGATTCTTATTCATATCTTATATCTTTGGATGAATGACTGATCATGTATTGCTCCAAGAGTTAGAAAGAATTTTTTTAATTTTTCCGATATGTATTCCTTAACGTTCAAGAAATATTCCAAGATAGTTTTTGCTTTGCCAAGTTTATAACGTATTCTGTCATTGGTATTATACTCGTGAAAAGTGGTTTCACAATCTTTTTGTACCTCGTCTTGATAGCAAGTTCAGGTTAAGAATGGTATATAACAGTGTGGGTCAGAAAAAGCCAATTTACAAGTTTTTATTAATCTCCTGATCTAATATTCCTCGACTTTCTTTTAGATGACAAAATTTTAGTGCTGTTATGCAAGGATCGGATTTGATACTCTGGCAATTCGCCTCTTTCGGGATCTTCTATGACTGTTGTCGAGTTTCCTAACTAGCTAGCTTGCTTGACAGACTAAAGTTGTTTGGAATTTTAGCCAAGTTGGTAAAAGCTAAAGAATCTAAAGTTGCGTTGGTGTTTATAAAATGTGCTTTGCCGAAAGTATGCTAGACGTTGCACGCTCTGCGCCAGTGGCAGTCACCATCCAATACAGAAAGAGCCTTGTGATCATCCACTAAGGATTTCTTTATGGGTGATTGACACTTTGGACTTTGAATTAAAGTTAATTCAATGCATCAAACAAAAACCAACTCCTTTATGTTTACTTTTCAGCACCGCCTTTTGTCCCTTTTTCTCAAATTAATTTAAGATTAGTAATTAATAATGTTAAGTGTACGTCGTCAAGTAACAATTACGTTGGGAAAGGTGTCCCAATCGAATATAACTCACAAACTAAGCCATAGCCTAGCGATGTGGATGAGAACTTATTACATTTCACTTATCTTTATATTATCAGCTTTTTCAGCTAAATGTGTTATGCCTCATAACCGAAGTTTCTAGTGGAAGCCACGTCGCAGTCCACGTGAAAACATTGAGTTAGATGTGACAAAGTCAACAAAAATTCAATTGGTCAAAATAGAAAGTCAAAAAAGAAGCTGATCTCATTGTTCCAAGCTCTTGCATGGCTGAAGCCCTATCTCTACCTCGAAGCTCTTTTAGGCCGAAGCACCCTCCTCTTACGAAGCTCTTTTTTAGGTTGAAACACTTGTTGGCTTTGAAAGGATCTGCAGACAATCTCTAGGGAATGATTGATGTAACGTTTAATGAATGTCGGATTGTCAACTTAGGATGTAGGGCGACTGATCTGTTGTCAATGTATTAAATGTATAACAGACGGAGTAACGTGAGGCTTTAGCCTAGGAAATGATACAACATGGTTCTAATCCAACGGCTACCACGTCGTCCATCTTATTTTCTATCTTAAATTCAACTTGGTATCAGAGCTACTAATCTTAGTGGTTTTCGATATATCAAGAGTTGAGTATGCTCTGTGATTGCTACTATTAGTGGATCCTTCACATCAGAAAAACTTCTTGTATATCCTCGTCATACTTGTTGGGTGGTCACTATAGTCGGAGTCTTATTCTCCATCGACGTCATCTCAGCCACCACTCTATCAGTTCAGTTCGGTTCCTGTTATTATTATTTTTCTTTGTCTTCATCTAGTTTCGTTCACATTATGGAGCATTTTGAGGCTTCACAACCCATTGTCATTATCATGGAAAGACTCAACTACACCATATGGGCTCATAACAAGCTTTCTTAAGGGCAAAAAGCTATGGCGCTATGTCACTGGTGATATCATTGAATCAGAGAAAGTCGTTGGAGAAGACAACACAAAATATATAGACTGTCACGCAGAGTGGGATAGCAAGAACCACCAAATTATCACTTGGATTCGCAACACATGTGTACGCTCCTTCAGTCTCCAGTTTGGTAGATTCAAGACTGCTAAATCACTATGGGATTTTCTATAGAAACGCTACACCACCGCAGATCTGTCTCATCAATACCAACTTCTGGGTACTCTACATCGTATGCAACAACAACCTAAGCAATCCATCAATAGTTTCTTATTTGAGATGCACTATGTTTGGGATCAACTTGCTTCCTCAGAACCAGAGTTTACAGATGCCAAAAATGCTAAGAAACTTTCCGACTATCGAGATCAGCAACACTTTGTTCTCTTTCTCATGGCCCTAACTAATGAGTTTGAGAATGTTCGTGCATCTCTCCTTCATCGCAATCCCTTACCTACTTTAGATCAGGATGTTATTAAACTTCTTTCGGAGGAAATTCATCTTGCCCCTCGCAAAACAACCTCTATAGATGCTGTTTTCGCCACTCCCAGAGGACCTCAACCCAACAATAAAGGGCATTCATCTGGATCTTTTCAACCTAACAACAAAGGACATCCATCTGGATCTTTAAAATTCTGCAATTACTGCAAGAAACCAGAACATACTCTATTGGAATGCCCGATTTGAGTTTGCCAATTCTGTCAGAAGCAAACCCGAGGTCATCTTCAGCTTGATTGTTTTCAAAACCCCAACAGACACTCCCAGCAATACATGTCTCGCGGTACTCCTTCTAGATCTGCCGCCACTACTGTTGAAGGTTCATCATTTACTACTTCTAGTGAGACGTTTTCTGCCTCTAACATAGAGGAAATTGTCAAACAAGTCATTGCTCACTCTGGTAATATACTCTCTACTGCTATGTTAGTCACCTCAGGTAATTTATCCTGGTTCTTCGACTCTGCATGCTGTAATCACATGACACCTAACTTCACTATATTTGCCACCAAACATCTTGCTAATCATGCTCCGACTATTCAAACTGCTGATGGTTCTTCTATGACTGTGAGTCATATCGGAAAAATATCGACATTCAACACTTCTCTTCCTGATACTTACTATATTCCCCAACTCACTCTCAATCTTATATCTGTTGGTCAATTATGTGATTTCAGTCTAATTGTCCTCTTTTCTGCTTCTAGTTGTTGTGTATAGGATCTAAAGACGGGACAAACTCTTGGGATAGGCCGTAAGGTTGGACAACTCTTTGAGCTCATCAATCTTCACCTTCCATCCCGTTTCTCCTCATCAGTTTACACAGCAGCTCCAGTCTCATCCACCCCATCCATCAGTATCTGGCATTCTCATATGGGTCACGCTTCTGCTGGTCATCTTCAATCTTTAGCATCTAGTGGTCATTTATGACTTGTTATTAAAGAACAATTTGATTGTCTTCCTTGTCAACTTGCAAAACAATCGGCATTGCCATTTTACAAAAGTGATTCATTTTCTTCTGCACCATTTGATTTGATTCATTCTGATATTTGGGGCCCGTCTCCCACTCATACTATGGGAGGCTCTAGATATTTTGTCATTTTTGTTGATGATTACTCTCGTTACATTTGGATATTTCTTATGCGCAATCGATCTGAATTATCTCAGTTGTACTATGATTTTGCTACCATGTCAAAACTCAATTTTCTTGCAACATCAAAGTGTTTCATGCTGACAATGCTGCTGAATACACAGACTATAAAGTCCTTAACTTTCTTCACCAACATGGCACCCTTCCTCATCGATCATGTCCAGGCAATTCTCAACAAAATGGGTGTGCTGAACACAAACATCGAGACATTCTCAATACCGTCCGTGCTCTTCTATATCCACTTCATGTCATGAACGCTTTTGGGGTGAAACTGTTCTTATAACTGTTTATACCAAGAACCGCGTACCTTCTCCCATCATTGGGAATCAATCACCATTTGAGCGTCTTTATGGTTACCCTTCTGACTATAACACTCTTAAGGTATTTGGTTGTGCCTGTTTTGTTCTTCTACAGCCTCATGAGCGCACCAAATTGGAATCTAGATCTCGATCATGTTATTTCTTAGGATACAGTATTGAACATAAAGGCTACAGATGTTGGGATCCTTACTCCAAACGTCTCCGAGTATCTCGTCATGTTGTTTTCTGGGAACACAAGATGTTCGCCTCCATATCCAAGTTTCACCTGTCGCATGACAACACCTCTCTCCTATTCACCGATCTGTCCACGGATCTTTTTCCGACACTCCTGAGACAAACTCTTCCTCTGAGTCAACATCTCCACCAACATATCATCTCTCTCTCTCTCTCTCAGTCAATTTCTCTCTGCTCCTCGCACATCCCATTATGCCGCAATAGTTCAGATTCTCAGGTACATCAAAGGGACCCTATTTTATGGTCTCCATTTCTCATCTCAATCTTCACTTAAGCTTCGCGTCAACTCGGATGCAGATTGGGCAGGTTACCTCACTGATCGTAGATCCACCACTGGTTATTGCTTCTTCCTTGGTGATTCTCTTATTTCTTGGCGCAGCAAAAAGCATACAGTAGTCGCTCGATCCAGTACAGAGGCTGAGTATCGAGCCCTTGCTGATACAACTCAAAAACTTCTTTGGCTTCGCTGGTTACTTGAAGACATGAGCGTCACTCATTCTACTTCCACTATCATAAGCTGTGATAATCAAAGTGCTATCCAATTGCTCACAATGATGTACGAACGCACAAAACACATTAAAATTGATTATCATTTTTTACGTTATCATCTCACCCGTGGGACTATCAGTTTCTTCAGCCGATCAAACTGCTGATATTTTCACTAAAACACATCCTCCTGGACGCCTTCAAAATTTAGTTTCAAAACTCACGTTGGTCTCCATTTTACCTCCTTGAGTTTGAGGGGGGCTGTTAATGTATATGCATATATACACAATGTACATGTTAGTTAGTCCCACATTGATTAGAAAGTAAAACATTCATATCAAGTTAAACTATAAATATGATGCCTCTCTTGTAAACAAATCACACTATTTAGGCCTTGTATGGGAGGGATTAAAATCGGATTAAAATTGAAAATATAGCCGTTATTGTTGACTTTTATTAGACGAGTGGGACCCAATAACGGCCATATTTTCAATTTTAATTGGATTTTAATCCCTCCCGAACGGGGTCTCAATACAATTCTA